CGGTAGCAAAATGTCAATACTGAATGACCCTTTACAGTTTCATGCCAAATTATTAATTTTTACTTGGTAGAGGATAGAAAAACAAGCACCATTTGAATATATTAATTCCTAATACAGTTTGATTGGAACTCATACACTCTAATATGACCCTCCAGGAAGTAACTTTCTGAGATGTTCCCTAAATAAATCTGTACGGCCTTGCAACACTTTTAGTAAGTATTTATAAACTATTGTTCTGCACGATCGGGCGTTTTTCACATCTTACAGGATATGACAGGAGGGTTGTAAGTCATACATATAAAATACATACAAATTCAGTTACCTAGTTGGAAGGGTATTTTATTTACTAATAACTTATATATACTTAAGGTGTTCAGGGAGGAAACGGGACGAGAAATCCAAATTATTTTTACTATTTAGATAATTGATTGATTAATAATATTATTCGCAAAGATTCTCACTTTTCCGTCGGAAAGGTCATTTACCCCTATGGGCATAAAAAAATTAAAAAAGAAGGGTAACCTTTGCGAACATACCTGTTACATCCCGTATATTTAACTTACATAAATTCAATAATTCATAATAGACAACGGAATCACAAACTACATTGCGTGCGTTTTGGAAAAGGCTTTGTTTACACATGTCTGATTAACTCAACATTCAATACAGAAGTTCTAAGCAAACATAAATAGCGAAATTACTACCAGTACGAGAACAATAGCGATAACGGAACCCGCTGGATAATAGCTATATTTAAATTCGTTCACCTGTAACAAGCGCGAGGAAGTGTTCTAAAAGAGTTGCGGCCCTGTCAAAGACCGAAGAAGTAGCAGGTATAAACTCGCAAAGGAAGTCTCGATCCTATTTCACTAGGACACTAAAGGGAGCCGTAATTTCAGAAAATAACAAAACTTGAAAAGTGTGCTAACCATCTGTGAGAAATCTGTGCTGAATCTTTTGTCAGTAGTAGATGATTGACAGTTGGCAGTGTACTTATTGTGGGAATTATGGCATTAGAAATAGAAACGAGGTGTCTAGAAGCGAAGGGTTTAACTAAACCGTTAAATATACAAAGTGGCTTTTAATTTCCGATCTGTAAACGTTCTCAGTCATGTACGAAATTGTACTAATGAACACCGATGTTTTTTTTGTACAGGAAATGTACAATTGGCGGTTCTCTTTTGTAAAAAAAACCTGATGCAGGTAGCATGCCTAGAAGATACAAGTCTAATTAAGTATGTGCCAATATCATAATTTAAAACAATCACGTATACATGTGTAAATTGGGCGAGCTTCGTTATCGTAAAATTTTAATGCATATGCATTAACTTTACATGAAATCTAACTTCAATATTTAATTGAGGAAATAAACATAATAACGCTAGCGTGTATAATTCCACTTACCTATATGATTACAGCTATATGGTATATTTTTAACTTTTTACAAGAGCTTTAGAAATCTTTTCAAATACTAATTGGTGCCATTCTCATTTTACGGATTGAGCTCGAAACCCTCGTTACGTGTTTTAGTTGCGGTAAACGAGTGGGGCTTAACAATACGCTTTTCGTTCTCTTTTTCTTCGTGCTGGTATTAGTTGTAAACAATGCGGTGTAGTAATCACTATTACCGATTTGTGGGGATTTTCTGCTTTTTGCCTAGGTCGATGTGCAAGCTCTGCTGTTTTGAATAAGGGTTGCAACATGAATGAAATATCTGTTCTTGTATTGCAACGAAACGAATTTTGACTTGAAATTTATTGCGAAATTTTAGTTTCATGCTGCATACAGATGTTGCATCAGTGGTCGCCGTAAATCTTACGACTGGAATAGTAGTGGAAGAAAGCTCGTTAATTAATTTTGAAAATACTGAAAGCACATTATGTGCAATTTTGCACGGGAGATGCGGTTCCCTGAGAATCAATCACAATTTTTCAGTTTCATGCTGAAGCTTTTATGCTCGTCTCATAGAGGGAGGTAATCAATCTCTCGCGGTGTTCGACTCAAAGACCTGTCATCCGTCGACGTTACGCATGAGGCGAAATTATCGAAATTATTGCAGTAACCCCCATTAGACTAAGAATATAACCGATAATGCGTCGTCATAGGCGTGACGGTTCGGATAACAAAAGCTTTTAGGACTTTGGCTTTCTCGGGAACATTAGTGTCGAAAAATCATTCGTTACGGTACGTCCTTAGGGAGAATAACGTTACGATTCTCTAAGCCTAACCGGTGTTTAAAACCGCACGGATACCTTCGCAATTTCTCACACCTCTGACTGTAATATTTCGTTATCAGCTTTACTTTACGTCGAGTTTCCTAAGCGAGCATTATTACGCAAGATTATTCTCTCCCACACGTTCCAAGTTGTTTAATCCTAGTTGAATATCTCGAAGCGAAAGGCAAGAAATGCGATATTTAAAGTACGATTAATTGAATACTGTCAAAAACTGTAAATACTTGTCATTAAAAATTAACATTTCGTGTTTAGGCATTTTGTATATTATGTATGCATAATGAAGTAACTCCTAATTTGATGGTAACTAAATCTTTTCATTTGCTTACATTTAGTTTAGATTTAGATACTTTCAAACATTTCCTATTCCGACCACATAAGGGACGAGAAAGGTATTTCTGCTGTAATTGCACAAATACATTTTCTGAATTAATGCCATCCAATCCATCATAATTATATTATAATCATTTAGTTTACTATCCGAATTAGAGAACTGAGTTGGTCAGTAAGTAGGTAATTAGAAATCACGACATAGCACAATATGTCATCTCAGGGGCGTTTCCTTTAATTTACTTTAACCTTTTTCAGTGGTTTGGCGCCTCTTCTCTAACCCCCCACTGCACTTTTTATTTAATTTGTCGGTAACACAACGTACATATTGCTATAAGCAAACGGCCGCCAAAACCATCCACAAGCACCCGTCCAACTAGCTCAACAACAAGTACAGGTACTAACAAAACGTTCAAAGGAACTAATTTGGGCTCGATGAAACATAAAACTAACCATTTACAGATGAAGCAAATTTATCCACCATCAATCAAATCACCTGAAGGAAAGAATGCCAGATAAAACACACCACGCAACAAGCGATCGATAGAACAACATTAACATATCTTCACTTTTATACGACGTAAAGATTAACTCGCTACAACTAACTCCAGCTCCAGCTCCAACCGAGGCATTTTTTGCATAATTAAAAATGGAGGTTTAATATATTGTTACGAACCACTCGTATTTAGGTATGTAATGCAGATTTCGATTACAGTGCAGCAAGATGCCGAAGCGAAAGGTAACGCCTAAACGACTTCTTTGACTCCAAGAAAAGCAGAGTGCTACTGAGAACACCATAATGATAAGAAGCCTTCTTCGAGCCATCTTGATCCTTATTGGCACTATCAAAGCCTTCCAGGCGTTGTGCTACTGTGCTCTTGCGTCGTCAGTGTCAGAATCATCCTGCTCTTCTTAATGCAACCCTTTTTTTTTGGAGACAGCAAAAGTGTTTTTCCACTCGAAACTCGAAATTTCGATCCGAAGCCGGAAGATTACAGAACGAAATTTTGATTATAAAAAAATTTCCATTTGAAACAAAAAATGTTGACTTCACATTTTATAGAGGTTATAGAAGTTTTCACGATCGTCTATGCTCATTTTTTGTTAACCCTAATTTACAGGTCTGGGGTGGATCGCACCCCACAGCCACTTTCAATGTCCATAAGTTTTTTTTCTTTCAATATTTTGGCTTGGGAGCTCGAGTACCTTCCAAGTTTAGTCTTTCCTATCTTTTTGGGCGTTTTTGGCGTTCTTAGGATGTGAGTTTTTGTTTTATCACTACTTTTAGAAAAACTTTCAAGTTTACAGGTCTGGGGTGGATCGCACCCCACAGCCACTTTCAATGTCCATAAGTTTTTTTTCTTTCAATATTTTGGCCTGGGATCTCGAGTACCCTTCAAGTTTAGTCTTTTCTATCTGGGGTTCGTTCCACCCCACGCCCGTAAACTTGAAAGTTTTAGTGACCAGTAAACTAGGGTTAAAAAAACGATAAATAATAATAAATGTGTTTGCAACCATCGCGCCTAATATTTAAACAAAAGGATTCTAATTATGCGAGTTCCATTTTATTAATTGTTGAGGTCACATTTTCAAATAATTGCGAGTATACAACGTACGAGTAATTATTTCTCTCGAATCTGGATGAGCACGTTCTGAATCTATCTCTACCTGACCCGGTTTTGGAAGATACATAATTTCAGAATTAGAAAGCCATACAAGTGTCACAAAAGCTAATGGGTATCGAAGCGTTTGCCAAATACAACGACAGTACATCAAATTGATTATGTACTGTGCACTGGCAAATCCAGGACAAAGGTAACTAAGAAGAAAATTAATTTCAAGTAGCGAAGTGTAAAATATCTAAGGCGATATAGACAAAATATCACTTTCATTAAACTTCCAACTTCTAAGATTTCGTTTTTGTAATTAAATCTCCACCGTCTGCCATAAAGTATCTATCTGTAATAATATATTCCGTCGTTTTCTTCCGCGCAGTTTAAACCGTTTAGGGGGTTCCTTTCGAAATGAAAACATTCACATACAGAGACAATAAATTTACGTCTCCAGATCCAGAAAACTACTTTATCTGTATATCTTTACCCAAAACTAAACTCGTTTGTCAACGGCGAGATCGAAAATATTAATTTAAATTGTGAGAAACGCGTAAGTAAATTAGCTTAGACCAGCTGCGATGTGAAGATACGAAGACCTACAACCCTTTCCGTACTATAAATCAATTACACGGTGTCCCTTTAACCTTTTGATGATGTTCATTGCATCTAGAGCCGTTGTCTCAGCCGAGCTTTCAAAAACTGAACGTACGAATGTTCGAATTTAGAGATGTGCCGGTGATCTTTTTCGTAGAGAACGCTGGTGGGGGATGCTGGAGGGGGCAACGAATTGTTGTAGCTGAAAGCTTCAAAAGCTTTAGTAGATTGGTGAAGGGCTGAGGGTGAGGTCATAGCGAACGTGTTCTCCGTGGGGATTTTCTTACGCGTATTTAAATAAAATTGTGTACGGACAGGATTATTCAGGTGCATAATTGGATTTAAGTGAATAATTATGTAAATTGACGTAAGTGCCTAATTTTTCGCTTGATCTGTAATTCGTGCCGAATTTCAGAATTAGGCTGGATGTTCTTAGGCTGATAGAAACGTGATAGACTCACAGTTGCGAGGATTAATTATCTATCAGATAGAATAAGATATATAGTATTGCGAGGTTTCTATCTCATTAAGTTAATTAATTCTGCAGTAATAAATCTCTGTCTCTGATATTAAATGCTTACAAGTTGATACTAGTTTTTGTTTGCTCAATTAAGGAATTTTCATCTTTCCGTTTTTAATTTTCTAGGACCTAGACCAACACTGCAATTAGTAAGCGCTTCCTTTCAATCTTTACATAATTAAGTCGTAAACTGAGTAACAAGATTTAAAAAATGAATGAAATAGATGATAGGTTAGTTTTATAAGTGCCAAATTATTGAAAAACTTTAACCATAAATGTCTTGTCTTGAAAACTGTACGACTATAAAAACTCGCCATTGAAAAGTTTCTGTTAGTCGTATTTCATGAATCGTTACAAATCTTTCTATTATTCCCAAACAAGCCGAACGAGTTCTCATGGTAGCAGACCGTTTTTTTTTCGTGTAAACCAGTAACTATTTCGATTTTATGGGTTAAACCGCCTTATTAGATATTCAATGATACCGTCTGATGATCTTATTATTAAAACGGAAACTACCCCATAAAGATTCTTTGCAGACGGTGCTACCCTAACATAAACATCCTTAACTGTAGCAGCGTATAAATAACCACAGAGAATCTTAACGAGGGTATCTTCTTGAGGAAATATATTTCATTCTAATGTTACTTTTAAGGTTCATCTTACATCAACGATTTTGACAGGGTGGGTCGTTAACAAGATAACCATACGTAGGTAAATTTGTCCCTAATTATTTTTATTATACCTAAATTTGATTAGTCGTGCCTTTGTCGGCCGAGTTTAGCATATCGGGGTTAATTACTGTTAACTAATGATTCATGCGTTAACAAAGCCAAACCTAGCATGTTATCGGGGTTGATAACGGTTTACATGGCTCGCTTTTTGTGCGTTTCCTCATTAACATGTGTATCATTTAAGGTATACACGTCGTCATAAATAAGATAATGAGTATTCTTTTAGGTAGTAATTTCAACCCACTCGATTTTAATCACTCAGATTTACGAGTTGTTTATTGTTAGATCATTATAATCAAGTGCTTCCATTTCTTATTGTTGTTTGGATGTACAGTCGTAAACCTGTCCACAGGGCTTAACGTTTCAAGCCCCAATTAAGTCGACCAAGAAAAGTTCTCCTAAAAAATGAATGACATCGACGAATACCTTCTTGTGAATTATTCAGTTCTGTACAGACAGACAAAGTTAACACAGAAATTTCCTTTTCACTTGTTAAAACTGGAGAGAAAATTTTGCGCAGTGTCATTATTTGTAGCTTCTTGGGCAAGGTTTTTCACAGGTTAATAAGCATACATCGTTTGTAAAGGGGAAGACGATAAATAAAACAAAATGTCATTACTGAAATGCCCTTTGTTTCGTTCATATGCAAACATGTAGAATTGTAGACCATCTAGGCGCTGTCATGCATTCTATTGATCTTTTATTTTGCGTCGGTTGAATTGAAATTCCCGTAACATATTCGTGGGCTGAACAGTTTTTTTGTCTGCCCGCGTCGCATAAGCGCATATCCCATTTTGTTTCAACTTTGGTTCTTTTTTATATGCAAAGTCGATACGCGAAAAATTAATTGCAACATTGAAAAATGTCATATTTTCGTCACTATTCAACTATTTGTGGAGTTTTCAGTCAAATATGTTCTCTTCAATTTTATTTTTAAAATTTTTTCCACTTTCTCCGCACAGTGGACATTTTTCCACCCAGAACATGAGCTCCTATTCTTATTACAACCTTCTAAATCTCTACCTTCAATGATATCCTTAGAATAGGTAATTTTTCTGAATCATTAAAATCCTGTTCCATTTTCTGCGGCATTTAAGAAAGAAACATGTAGTTGACGAGGGAAGCTAAAGGTGTGGTTCCAAATAGCCAAACCGCCCACAAATCCACCGAAATGTGAACGAGTTCCCTAGATTCCAGGATCTCTTTCTTGGCGAATTTTTCTGTAGGGTAATTTAAAATTATTTCACAGTTTTTCGGAATGATTGTTCCAAAGGGTGCGAGAGACTGCAACCGACAAGCCGCAATTTACAAAGTCAATTGAATATTTAAGGAATTTCCAAAGCTTTTAATTTTCCTGACTGTTCACATGTACCAAAAATGGGATCATTCTCTTCAGAGTTATGGCTTATGTGATATATTCTTAATTGAATTCCAAGTTGAATGAAGACCAAGATATCTACACATTTCAGTGGTGTGTCTCAATTCTACGCCCCGTAGACTATTCATAAATGCACAATACAATGCAACCCCCTTTTACTTTCGTACAATGAAGAGCGACAATGCTTATTAGACCTTTTAATTGGAAAAATCATAATCATAGTATGTAAAAGCTGTCCTGAAGTTAGCAATAGCGTCTCCATCCATAGAGACTTATTCAAGTACCATACTCATTCTAGAGACCGGATGCAGTTTAAAATATGCAGAAAAATGGACCAATATGCACGTACATAAGTGAATAATAATTTGGAGCAGTTAAACAGATTTTCAATCTTTTAATTCAATTCAATTCTCATCTCTAAAACTTTTAGTCCAGGGAATAGAGGGTTTTAACTTGCAAAATGAGAAGTAGTTCCAATTTCTTTTGCATCTCATAGACAGTCATCTGGTGGTTCAGAATCTAAGTTTTCGACCTCCCACCCCTTGTGCTTCCCCCGTATCACCCCCAAAACCCCTGAAATTTGGTTGGTTTCTTAGTTTTTCAATCATATCTTTTTAATGGTTCACTTTAGAAAAAAATATTGTTATCAGAAATTGAGGACCATAAAATTCTACACAACTTTGATACACCCTACTTTTTTGTGAATTGTTCATTAAAAAAGATATAGAGCTTGAGAGTTGGTTATATTTTGAAGAATTCTGAAATTTCTATGTAGATGTTTTAACCAAATTTTATACTTTATCTCTATAATTAAGAGTTTTATGAGAAAATATCTTGAATTTATTGTGGTATGGTGCAGGGGATATAAAACTCATAAAAACAATCTCACAGTTTCATTATTTTGCATCCCCTTTGGTAAAGACCAAAGGGGATGCAAAATAATGAAACTTGCAATCCTTGCTAGTGAGGATATTTGAATTACTGTGAGATTGTAGCGCTTTCTAATATACTTTTGAAATTAAAAAATTGTCTCACTTCAGTTCAGTTTCACCCCCTCCCCCCACCCCCCGCGCGGTAGGAAAAGATATTTAAACGCTCTTGTGGCGATTGTGAAGTTAGTCAGACAGTACAACGCTTATTACATATATTTTCTATTCCTCTTTAAATATCTATTCCTACCGCGGTTGGGGGGAGGGGCAGGCGGGGTATGAAGGATTTGAAGGATGAAACTGAACTGAAGTGAGACAATTTTTTTGTTTCAAAAGTATATTAGAAATTTATATGAATTGAAAATCTGGAGAAATTCTAATAATGATACAATTTACGGTGTTCTTAATTCGAATCTTGAAAATTAAAAATTGCATTGGACAGAAAATGCAGAAAATCCTCAAATACCAAATTTCGTCGACTCGCTCTTTCGTTTACGGTCGTTAAAAAAGGATTTTGAATTTTTTTATCAAAAAGGTAGCCGCAGATAAATCCGCAAGTTCCATAGTTATCTCTTATGGTTTCCGAGAAAAAAATTAAAGAAGAAACGCAGCAAATTTTGGTACTTTTGGAGATGTAGCTCCCACAATATACATTTTGAATCTTTTGGAAGTGTCTGTTTTCGTTCACCCCACCACACAATTATTTTTTTACACACTTTATTTCTTTTCTGCAATATTTTGTAATTAGAACTCTCCATGTTCTTTCTTCGTAAATTTGGTCTGTTCTGGGTTAACGGAGAGACTAACACCAGGCACGTAGTCTCCAGGGCATGGAAAGTGTGTTTCTAGCAGAACACGTCCCTCCACTGTCCAAAAAAAATGCCCCGTTTTTAGAGAGGATTGAAGAAAAAGCTTTCCATATCTCAGCGGTCCCCTGACCTTCCTTTCGAATTAGTTCCTTCTACTTGCTGTTGTTGCCTCCCCAAAGCTCACAATAGTATATTGAAAGACAAGTGTTACAATGCGACCTAGCATTGTAACACGCGTTTTTCATACTATTTTTTCTATTTCGGTGCTTTAATTTAATTAAAAAAATCAGTACCAGAAACTATAGGGAACATTAGAACTAACATGTTTTATGTTGGGAACACTTTTTATGCCGTTAAGTTTTAGGTTGGCAGCGTAGTAAGACTGACATTTTGAAGTTCAAACATGGAAGTATTGTACACTACTTGTACTAACTAGTAACTGCCAACTTAAGAGATGCAGATGAGTTACCAAAAAAAAAACGACTATAATCACTGTCTTACTGTTTTCGGAGTTGTACAAAATCATCATTGTGACACCGAAATAGAAAAAATCCTTATTTGGGTCTTCTGCAATTTTGTGAAATTTTGACAGAGTTCCTAATCCTATATTCGGCAATCCCTCGGGCAATCCTGAATGGAGATGCAAAGAAACTTTTAATCTTGACGACCTTTGATATCTGGGAATCTTTGGTCAATGACTAATCTAAACTTGCTTTTTAAATTTTGGAAAAAGTTTGAACTGTAGTTCTTGCTTTGACAACATAAAAATCGTAAGGTTTTAATTATTCCGACGCACAGGTCACAACTAAAAAGCCCATTTTCGAAAGCTAATTTCGGAAGAACCCCCCCAAGTACAAAAGTTGCTCAAGATCGCAATTTAGAGACGTGGCTTTTCAACGAAATGTGTTAGACCATTGGGCACACATCTATGCGACTTAATTCTTCCGCTATATACTAAAGTAACATAAAGGCGCCATTATGACGCACTCCACTGGAAACGAACTACATAATTATATGAGAAGGATTTCCACAAATAATTAAAAAGGCGGAAAATGTGACCCAGCCTACTTTCTCGACATTCATTCTAGTATGGGTAATCTCAAACATGCCAAACTAGAAAGCTTAAGTACTACCATTAAATAAAAATACTATTTATTCAATGGTACTGCCCTAAACGCTTGTTTATTATGAAAAACAGTAAAAACACTTGGAATTTATTGACTGGTCGTACCGCTGTAATGTTTAATTTACACTTTTACATTGCCGTTTTGTGGTCTTCTCCGAATAAGTGACAGACTCTTGTAAGTTATCGATGCGACAGGCGTCCTTTTGCATTTTCCAAATGTTTCTAACTAAAATGACAATTTTATAATATTCGGAGTATGAAATTAGTCATTATATGCTTATGACATTGAACTTAAGAGCTACATTGCTTTTAATTGATTAATTTATTAATGTACCTACTCATAGTTGAACTCTGTGAACTTAGTCAAACAGCATGTCCTCAACTTTTGATCTTGAATTTACCTTTCCGATTAGCGGATATGTTGCAATCACAAGTCGTTTGATCTTTTAAGTCATTTTAGTGCAAAACCTTATTAAATAATGCTATCTACTTCCGCTTCTTTATGTATGCCGCCGCCTTCTGTTTATTCTGACAAGCACTCCAATTAGCGCACCCATAAGATCATTGAACTATAAATTAACAAAAAAGATCGAGCAGAAGACGTTCCGTTTTCGCGCCGATTCAGAACGACCCTCTACCGTTTTGATTTCCAAATAAACAAACTTCCCGTCCGAGCAAAAACACTTACCCGAAGTGCGTTTGCGCTGTCAATATTCTTATTAACACAGACACTTAAAAAAACAAACCTACACTTTGATAAAATAATTACGCCCCTCTTAAAGTGTCGGGATAAGCGGGCCTGTAAAAACAAATAATTAAATATTTGTTGCTGCTCCCATCTCTGGCAGCTGTACTCGAGAGGCGCCTCACAAAGAACCCGCTTGTTTCCGAGATGCTATCAAATACAAGCCCACCTCCGGAGTCGACGACTTGTGTTGAAATTGACATTAACACTAATTTTAAAGGGACTAATATTATCTTTCCGAAGTTTTCGGCGAGTTCGAGGCTCGTCATTACCATTTTTTGTGGCAAAGAACGATAATTTTATCAGCGGAATCGATCTTTCGGCACTGAAAATTATAGGTTATGCATTCTGACCAAAAACGCGTCGTTAATTCGCCAACTAGGCTGCCACCTTTTACCATTTTTGGTGATGGAATCCTGTCGAAGTATTAGTGAGATCGTTTTTTTTTGCAGATTGGCTCAAGATGTTCCCAACAAAATTTTTCGAGCAACTGTCGTTCGCTGTGCTGCTTCTGTGTTTATCATCGACGGCTAACAATGAATTATGTAAGAAAGCTGTGGTTATAGGTAATTTTTTATTGACCTGGAATTTGCAGCGCAATGTTCTGCTCCTTTGGGAATGGAAACAGGTGCTATCAAAGACGAAGATATTACGGCGAGTTCGTCGTTTGACAGTGGGAACGTGGGACCGCAACACGCCAGGTAACTATGAGGTTGAAATTTAACAATTGCAAGTTAATCTTCGCCCTTAGGGTACGTACGGAAATTAATGGAGGCGCCTGGTGCCCGCAGACTTCAGCCACGGCCGAACCGGAAGAGTGGTTGCAGGTAGATCTGCACACGGTGCACGTAATCTCGTCCGTCGGAACACAAGGGCGCTTTGGCAACGGGCAAGGTGTCGAATTTACAGAGGCCTACATGCTGGAGTATTGGAGGCCGCGCCTGTCGAAGTGGATACGATATCGCACGGTGAACGGGGATGAAGTGCTGAATGGGAATATCAACACGTATTTAGAATCGAAAACTCAGCTTGAACCCCCAATTTGGGCGACGAAAATACGTTTCTTACCCTACAGTTACCATAAGAGAACCGTGTGCATGAGAGTGGAACTTTACGGCTGCCGATGGTCCGATGGAATCGTCAGTTACTCGATGCCACAAGGTGATAAGCGCAGTCCCAATTGGGAATTCTACGATAGCGCGTACGACGGTTATTGGGACGGGGGCAAGCTGAAAGACGGCCTAGGTTTGCTTACCGATGGTCACACCGGCCCCGACGATTTTAAGCAGACCTTCTACGATAACTCTCAGGGCTGGGTGGGGTGGAGGAACGACACGCGAGAGCAACGATTTGTCGAGATTAGCTTCGAATTCGATAAGATTCGCGATTTTACTGCCGTTCACATTTTTGCCAACAATCAGTTTACTAAAGACGTCGAGGTGTTTGCGAAAGCGGACGTTATGTTCAGTATCGGAGGTCGGCGGTACAAAGGCGAGCCTATCACCTTTGACTACATCGAGGATCACATATTTGAATCTCCGCGAAATGTGTCCATCAAGCTACATCATCGTATAGGTAGGTTTGTCACCTTGCGCTTGTACTTCGCGTCGAGATGGATCCTGCTCAGTGAAATTACCTTCGATTCCGATGTTGTCAAAGGAAATTTTACGGAGGAAGAGGAATACCCCCAGGAAAACGTAATCCAGATGTCCCCTTCTCATCCGCCAGAGATTAATCGCAAACAGCAAGTCACAGCTGTCGATTCGCCAAACGACATGGGACAATACTTGGGAATTGTTGCGGGGTTGCTCTCAGTATTAGCTCTGCTGGTTATATCGGTAGTTGTCTTCATTTTAATCCAGCAGAGGAGACACAAACACTCCACCGGACAAACTCAAGTACAGAACAACAGCGAAAAGGCGGCATTGTACTGTGAACCTAACGTGGGCCGGCTAAACATCAGCCCAAGCTACGCCGACGTCCGCGACCCGGAGTACGCCGTACCTCTCCAATCTCAGAGCAGGCCAACCGCCCCAAACTTGCAGAACATTTTCCCCAAACCTCCACCCATCCCGCCCGCGCCCGAACGCTATTACGCGGCCACCGAAATTTGTAACTCCCGCTTCGTGCCTCCCTCCCCGCCTTTATCAACGCCTCCCTTAGCCAGGTTGAATAGGCAACCCCGATACGTCTCCACAAATGTGAACACCTACGTTGGACCATAACTTGCTAACGATTTACCTGTGATACGTAATTTTAAGAATTTGTAAATTTTATGTGACCCTCTATGTCTAATTCCCGCATAATTGTTAAGGCTAGCGATCTGTAAGGCTGATGAAATTTAATAGTATTATTTTTATTGTGTGTATTTTTATTTTTCAAATGAGACAATCTATCACCGTAAATAAGCGTAATGTAGTTGTCAGGTTTTGTACATAATGCTTTTGTACATAATTGTATCTCAAAAGTAAGGAATATAATTTATTGAAGTTAATGAATGTAATGGAGGTCTGCGTCCCACAGCCACATCCAAAAATAGATCCCACTAATTTAGTAATTATTTAATATCTCGAAGTATTCGCAAAGATTTACAGCGTCGCCCTAATTCAATACTACGACCCATCTCGTAATAAATGGTGACCTTATCCGACGTATAAAGGGCGTACGTAACGAGAAACGTCTGTCGAGGGTTAGCGGTACAACACATTTACACGAGGCCAAAAGTACTCACGCTAATGTAAAGGGGAAAGAATTCTTGGGGCGAAGGAGAAATTCCACTATTGTCCTTCAATCGAACTAATTTTTAAGGCGAGCCACCAGTACGCGTTTAATGTAATCAGTTTTTATACGCCCCAAACTGGTACATCAATTCAAGATTAACATCATAAAAGGAACTTCCTAATGGTAAGTTATTGAAGAAAAAATTTATCGGTCTGTTAATATAAAAGAAGACGATGATGAATAAAATATCTCATTGAATATAAAAATAGGTGGCCGGTTAGTGGCAGTATTTTTAAACTGATCTGTTTTTTATCGCTTACCAAGTACCTACGTATGCATTGCTACTTGCATTTCGAAGTTTATTGTCCATAATTACTTGCGTCGTAAAATGGCGAAATGGCTCTGATTTAGTAAAAGATTGTAAAATTATCGCACTATAACTACCTTCAATTTTACTATCTTCATGTAAATTTTTACTTTCAGGATCGTTTTGGAGTGCACATTAAACTGAATCGCATTTTAAAATAGTAAGTGTCTTCCAACAAATTTGCCAACTTCTAATTTCGATATCACGCTAGACGTTAAGTTTCTATAATTCTCTTCATTCAGTGCAATACATAATAGCAAAGACCTCTACCATGACACTTGAGTTTTATTTTGAGCGGCCACTCTCGGGGGTGCAATAAAAAAGAATTGGCACACACCGAAAGGTTAATATAAAAGCCACTTTCAATTTAGAATGTTTGATACTTACTATTCGGTAATGTCAATATGGAATGAATATCGCACATAATCAGAAAATAACAAGTTGCGGCATTCATCTTTCTTACCCCTTAGGATTTATTTGCCTCAAAACAGTGGTAACAATATACGTAGCGTGTGCAAGGTCTAATTTAAAAATCACCGTAAGTTGTAGCATCAAGGTAAATGCGTTTCCCCCATAATACCCATGACAATAAGACCATAACTGAAATGTTATCAATTAATTTCATCGCCCACCTTCATCTTTTAAATGGACTACAAGATTTTATTATTGAATCGGATGACCCGAATTTAATTATGTCGATTACGTAATGCTATAATAGCGTTTTCCACTGATGGATTAGCATTGCGCATTGGTATCGTCCGTATTTTTATCGCACACTTTCCCGCAGCAGTAAAAAAGTTGCACTATTTTAGGGCAGTGGAAAATATTTACAAAAGATCTACACAACATAATTGTAAATTATGTGCTTCCTTTATGGAAAACGATTTTTAAAAAACAGCTTTAATTTTTGATACAAAGTTATAATGGGAATACGAACTAAACTCGACTGAATACAATAGAAAAATCACATATAATTTATATATAAGGAATTTGCTGATCTTCTGTGGGCCATAACTCTTCCATCCTTAAATACAGATCTTAGGGTTAGGATTTGTTAACCTGAAGTCGGGGGTTTCGTTTTGGGTTTAAAAGACTTAATTTGTAAATTGTTATTTTTGTAGGCGTAAGTTACGAAAAGCACAAGTAAAATTATAAATACGTAGGTTAATATTGTCCAGATACTAATGTTATTGAAATGCACTGTTTCAGTTGACACCGCTTCGGTTTTTTTTTTGTGTTGCACTTCTAGGGCACTTTGAATGTTTTTTACTTCGTCCAAATTAATTAGGTATGTCCATTTCTATAGGTTTAAATTGTAGTTGTGATTTTTGAAAACATCGTATAAATTTTGAAAAGCTGTTATTAATAGAGATATTACCATTTGAATCACAAAATAGCTGGGAGTTTCAATTTGTCCCAATTCAATAGTTTTAAGAACGTGTTCAATTTGTATAATTCTGGATTTCAAAATATATTGATTATGTACCAGTTTTTCAACATTGGTTTTAAAAAGGTTAATTGAATTTTGTAAACGTGTAATTTGCTGACGCATAAGAGTTTTGATTTTTTATTGGTTATCTGATAACGTCGAAATTGATTTAGCGGATTTTTCCGCATCTTCTTAATCAAGATTTCCTGTAAAAGCTTTTATTATTGTTCACGTCTTTTTCTTTTATGATCCTAAGGATTTAATTGTTTAATTTGTGTGTAAGAATTGTGAAATTCGTTCTTATACCTAATCGTATTACTAGCGCTGGATTCTAAAGCGTTTTTTAACGTTATGAAACTGTTGCGAAGCAAATAATATTCCTTAAAAACTAAGCTTGAATAAATAACCAATGGTCTATTTATTTGGGTGTTACCTATTTTTAAAGGTAGTAAGCCAATGTTGTCGTTCATTGGGATGAATTCAGGGGGTTCTTGTACGTTGGTTGTGACGAGGAACCTGTTACAACAGGGGGGTCTTTTAAGTTCTTTTATATGCACTATCTTCCTTTTGTTTTTATGGTTTATCTTTTGGATTTGGATTTTGTTTCAATACGTCCTGTCTGTCCGATTTTGAACTCGGAGTTGACATTTCCGTGGTTATTATGTTTGTCTACTATTTCTGGTTTTTGCATTACATTTTTATAAACGTGTTCTAATTCTTGTTTGTGGTTCTCTGCGTTGGAATGGCTTGTGCATATTTTGAGAATGCGTCTATTAGGGTAGGGAAATTTTTGTTGGTATAAAAGAATAAATCCTAGTGTATATTTTGGAAACGTTTACTAGCAGTTTCGGTTACCATATTTTATGCATTGGCATATTTCACAAGAATTGATACAATTTGTAATTGTGGGTTGCATATTTTTCCAATAATAATTATTTTTAATTTTTTTGAAAGTTTCGTTTATACCTCTACGATTTGTCTTTATTAACATTATTTTTGTTCTCCTAGGTCTGTTATCGTAAACAACGGAACAATTTGGGGCCTTTTTCTGAAAAGTGATCTTGTAAATAATTTACTAAAAATCTTCGTACGAGTACAATTGGTCTGTATGGAAATACATGCAATGTTTTTTCTGACATAGTGCATTCTTTCAAAAAATCTAAAATAGATTGTTGCGCCTAGGCGGGATTTTAATTTTTGCTATCTTATGAATTTCGTAATTTGATAGCTTAACATCATAAATGAACATTTGGATATACTAAAGGAGAGAAGAAGAGTAAGTTTGTGCGTGAGTAGGGAATATAGAATAATGTATGAGTATTGAGTACAGCGAAAGAAAGGTGAAATATAAAAATTTTTGGGGTTGACAAAATTCTAATAGAGTAACTTGTACAAATAATTAATCTGGGCAAATTCATACCTTTTTTTAACACAATCCATATTAAAAGATGACAGCCGTTCAGGGTACAGAATTAGATACGTGTAGGTATTGCCCGCTCCGTGTATAGTTGAGATACCTTAGGAATTTCTTTTGGACCCTTTCAAGGCTGTTGAGAGAGCGAGGCTTCCAGACAATACATGCATAAGTGTGGCAGAAAATAAACACTTCAGAGTATACTCTTTTGAAAATATGGCAGCTTGTCTCAAGATAAATCCTAAGTTTCGGTATGCTTTGCCTATGCTATAGGTTAAAGATGAGGGGTCCTAAAACAGAGCCCTGTGGGATTCCCGATGTGTGCTTAGATGTACATCCCTGGAACCACATGTATTGACTGCGATTTGTGAAATTTGATTGATTTGAAGAGGTGGAGGTGAGGGGAATTCGTTTAAATTTATCATTTTTTAGAACACATAATTTCTTAAAAATTCTAGGGATTCTGCATCTATGTCTCCGGGGTTATTAATTGCTGATTCAGTTTCAAAAGCATTTATTTTGCTGGGTTTATAAATAATGTCGTAGTTATAACTTTTGATTGAGAAGTCTGATCGAAAAAGTACGAATTGATTTGGATTCTACGCACCAAAATTAATAAGAAAAGGTGTTTTCCCGAGAAATTTTGGTGTAGTCGATTTTTGGTAAAAAAGGAAGGTTATACACTGCCTTTTTTTGAGCCCCGAAATAAAAATTGTCTCAGATCGGCCCGGAAAAAAAATTTTCTTATAGAATGTGGCCTGTAGAATCCATAATTTCAAACAGTTCCAAGATTGGGCTACTAGTTCAAAAGTTACAGCCCTTTGAATTTTTTTTTCGAAATTGGTTTCTAGTCTATAACTTTTGATTGAGAAGTCTGATCGAAAAAGTACGAATTGATTTGGATTGTACGCACCCAAATTAATAAGAAAAAGTGTTTTCCCGAGAAATTTTGGTGTAGTCGATTTTTGGTAAAAAGGGAAGGTTATACACTGCCTTTTTTTGAGCCCCGAAAAAAAAGTGTCTCAGATCGACCCGGAAAAAAATTTTCTTATGGAATGTGGCCTGTAGAATCCATAATTTCAAACAGTTCCAAGATTGGGTACTAGTGCAAAAGTTATAGCCCTTTGAATTTTTTTTCGAAATTGATTTCTAGTCAATAACTTTTGATTAAGAATCATAGTAAATTTTTAACAAAAAAAGTTTAACAATAATTTTAAAAATAATTTCTCCGTTATGCGTTTCATTAACAAAGCAAACAGGGTCGTCCCCTTTGGTCGACAAATTCCTCAGTCCCGCAAATCCCGCGGGATCCCGCTCCATTTATGTGCGGGATTAATCCCGCAAAAATGCTGCGGGATCCCGGTATTTCGGAATCCCGCGATCCCGGTATTGCATTGCCTAGTCGTAGTCGTACCGCTCTACTCTGGGGCCCCACCGCAGTCGCTGTAGCTGCGGGTACTCTGCTATACGTTCCTGCTATTGAGAAGATGTTGTACCGCAACACTAGCAGTAGATGATCAAATTTCCCTGAAAATCTTTCACGAAGAACACAAAACCAGGACC